CGCGTCATGCTGGGCCTGTCCGGTCGTGAGACGGCAGAGGACGTGGAACCGGTGCAGCTGATCTGTGCAGGCCGAGCACCTGTCCCGGGCTGGCGGTGTGGGGAGGGCGAGGCGGGTGCGGGGCCAGGACCTCTCGCCGGCCCAGATCCCAGCCTGTGTGGTGCAGCCCACGCCTCTGTCCCAGGAGAGCAGCACCGTGAGCGTGTGCAGGGCCTCAGGACAGGGCTGGCCCTGCGGCCTCCCCAGACCCGCATTTCCTTGGGAGAAAAGCATTTTCCTGGATGAAAACTTCAGGGCATCTATTCACTTATTTCTTTTGCTACCAATGAGTCTGATACTTTTTTTATAGTTTAAACACTTACACTCTTTAAAAAAAAATTGGGCCCATTAGTTATAAAATGCACCTGTTACCATGACTGTATTGAAAAGTCCAGTATTATGTGGTAAAAAGTACTTCCAAAAACTGTATTTATTTTAAGAAGTTTTACCCAAGTGTTCTGTTGTGTGTCTCTTCCAGAGACTCTTACGCTTCCTTTCCATGTGTTACAGTAAAATACTTCAGAGTTAATCCTCCCGGGCGTAACATGTTGCAAATGAGTCTTTGTGTGAAGTTTCTCCACACCGCTGCCTCAGACTTGTTCTTGACATCATTTATTAGCCATTTGGGGCCTCTTTGGCTATGGAAAAAATTTAATTTAAAAAGATCTGTGTATCCATATGAAAGTACTTCCAAACTGTATTTATTTTAAGAAGTTTTACCCAAGTGTTCTGTTGTGTGTCTTTTCCAGAGACTCTTACTCTTCCTTTCCATGTGTTACAGTAAAATACTTCAGAGTTAATCCTCCCGGGCGTAACATGTTGCAAGTGTCTTTTCCAGAGACTCTTACGCTTCCTTTCCATGTGTTACAGTAAAATACTTCAGAGTTAATCCTCCCGGGCGTAACATGTTGCAAATGAGTCTTTGTGTGAAGTTTCTCCACACCGCTGCCTCAGACTTGTTCTTGACATCATTTATTAGCCATTTGGGGCCTCTTTGGCTATGGAAAAAATTTAATTTAAAAAGATCTGTGTATCCATATGAAAATCTGTTTTCAGAACAAAAAAGGCTGAAAATTGTGTTAAATACGTCACTTGTAGAGATATAAGGCAATTGGGGCACTTTCCCTTTCTGTAGTTTGCATGTGTGATTCCCGCGTCATGTTCTGCGGCTATAATCTTACGTTTTCTACTGGGGAAAATGAGTTGTCTGTGTTTCCGTCTTTAACGCCTTTGCAACACCAGGCATTCGTGCCTTTGGGGCGCTGTCTCCGTCCTGAGAGAAGCTGCTCCCGTTTGACTCAGAGGATGGGTTGGTACTCAGTAGTCGCAGAGCTGAAGGACCAGAAACGCCCTCTGCCGAGGTGCTGGTTGTTTCCTTTGTCGTCCTTGCTTTCCGAGAACCTGTGCCTTTCCCAGCACCGAAGTACCTGACAGATCGCTTGTTGAACTTGCATAATGAAACAACTAAAATGGAAACTTTACATCTGATTGTTTTTCATTCTGGCACAGGTTGCTTATGGAATTCTATGAGTCACCGGATCCAGAAAGAAGGAACAAGTTTCCCGGGAAAAGTGTTGATTCGAAACCGAGTCTCAAAAAGACTCTGCCGTCAGTGCTGCTCCTGGGCAGCCTGACAACCGGGCTGCTGATGACGGAGGTGGGCAGGAGACTGTACGTGAACACCTGGGTCTTTGGGTCGCTCTTTGGCTGCCTGTGGGTCTCCATCAGAGCCTGAGGTGGCTCTCTGCACACTGTGCCATGCTGCCTCGTAAGACGTCCAGCTGCTTTCCGAATTTAGCAAGAAGTGTAAATAAACCTCCTGGTGGAACGGTGGATAAAATGGGATTTACACAAAAGCCGTATCCACTTGGTCTTGGCAGACACGCACTGTTTTTCGGCGTTAGAACAGGAGCTACCGAGAGGCCAGCACTGAGTGGAGTTTACACTGCTCTTTACACGTCCTGTGAGCTCGCGTCACCTCTGCCAACCATTAGGACTGTAACTCGCTGTCGTTTTATAATCCAGATGGCTATATTTTAACATTAGTGTGCAGCGTATTTCATTATGTTTGTTTTCGTCAGTGTTTGACAGCTTGACAGCTGCAGACTCTTACCACTGAAGTGTTTAGCATCTCACTGTGGAACCCTTGGCTTTCTGTTGAGTTTCTTCGAGTCGGAGAAGGACATGGCATTCAAAACCAAGACATCCAAGGAGAAGGCAAGAAGTGTTGGGGGCTGAAGCTCTGTTCAGTGTGTGTTCTTCTGGTGTCACATTGTTAGCTGATTTTACTTCATAGTTGCAAAATAATTAACACTTTGTATTTATTGAAATCACTTAATTTGCATACCCTGTGGTCTACACAAAACAAGGCAGAAAATGTCTGGGGCTCTGCTGTATTGCCCAGCTGTTGAGGGTTAAGCTGTGCTGTTGGCAGTCCTCAACATCTGTGCCACAAGTGCTTAACACATTAAGGTGTCCTGTTATCTTTCATACCAAAAGAATCAGCGTGAACCTCTGCATCGACTCCTCAGCCCCAGATGGTGAGGCGAGAGCAGCCTGCAGGCGTCCTGGCTGGATTCGCTAGCGTGTGCCTTGTGCCTCTCTGGCTTCGGCGATGACATCTGACGTGGGAGTCTTCCGCCTGCCGCCCTGGTAGCTTCTGTGCTCCGTCCCCCTCCCGCTCCCTCAGGGTGCTGCGCCGTGGGCGGGGTGAAGGCGGGGATTCGCAGCCTCCCTCCGGCCAGCGAGAACCAGGTGTCCCCGTCCCCGTGGAGCTGCGCCGTGATCTGCATCACTTCACTGACAGCCAGCCGGCTCCGGCCAGGGACAGTTTGTCCCACAGGAGGGAGGAGGAGGTCTGAAACTGGGGCTGCTCCACTCTGTGACAGAGGAGGCAAGGTGGCCTGAGGTCCTCCGGGAACCTTCTGCCTACGACTGCTTTGGGGCCTCTTGTTTTTCACAGAATTACACCAGTGACCCAGATGAAATGCACCGATTGGCTCATGAAGAAAATGAAAATAATAATTGAGCAAAATTCTGACTGACTGCATTACGTTGCTTTTCCCAAACCGGAGAATTACCATTTCGTGCAGTACCCTCGGAGAGCTGTGTGGCGTGAGTTGGTTTCACTGTTGCCACATCCGTGTGCACAGCATTTCATAACGCAGCATGCGTGGCCAGCTGTTCACAGAGCAGCCTGGCTCTGCATGGGGGCATAGGTCACCCTTGTTCAGAGTGCTCTCCTGACAAACGAGTTTTCTCTTTCCTGTAAAGGGAAATTTAAATCAACCCCATGTCTTTGTTAAATCCGTTTTCTGAGGGGTACTGGGGATCCAACTCAGGACCTCACGCTTGCCAGGCAGGTGTGCCGCTGAGCTACGTCCCCAGCCCTAGATACATTTTTTCAGTGCTAATTTTAGAGCTTGTTTCTGACAAGATCAAAGTAAACGAAAGCTGAGATACTTCAAATATCACAGTTGTGCTCTGGTTTTAAGTTCTGAGCAGCAGGATCGTTGGAATGGTCTGGGTTATACCTGGTTTCAACAAGGCGGAGTGACCCACATGCGGCCACTTGAGCACTGTTTCTCTGAGGTCTCTGCTCTTGCGCGTCTCACGGAAGTTTATAAGATGCAGGAGTGGGAAAATGACTGTATTAAAATGAAGTTTGTCTCTCACGTGTTGATTTTGACTTAAATTGCCTGTTTTCTAAAATTTAAATCTGTCTGCCTACCCACAGATCTTTTCACACATTATCATGTAAGCTTTTGTTTTATTATTTTTATTGATTTACAGCTTAGTTACGTTCATCTTTTCTTTATAAGACTTGCCATCAATGTGCATGTTTGTGTTTTTCAGAAAAGGATGTATTTGAAGGGAAACAAAAAATAAAATCTTTCACTGTCTCTAATGTCTATGCTGTTTGACATTTTGTGATCCTGCTATCAACCCATAGTTTTCTGTTACATAAGAGACATAGTGATTGGCCCTGCATTCTGAATTTATGATAGTTTGTTTATTTATTTATTTATTTGGTACCGGGGATCAAACTTGGCACCTTGGGCTTACAAGGCAAGTGGTGGAACCACTAAGCTAAATTCCCAGCTCCAGTTTATTTTTCTAAAGTATTGAACTTTTT